CAATGAACTCTAGGTAATAAACAGATAAAAGTATTAATATAATGTTTTAACTTAAATGAAAAGAACTGCAATTTTGTTTTATATTTTGTATTATATTTAACATAGGTTTGGCTCCAGAGACTGTGGATTTCAAGTGGAACAGGCTGAACTGGATGCCCTTCCTGAGGCCACCCTGTCAATGACTCCTTGTGGGGACCCAAATTTGCAGGAGTACTTGGACTTTGCCATGGAACACAATCAGATACAGAAGCTGGAGAATTGGGAGTCTGCATCAGAACTGTATATGAAACTGAAAGAAATAGCTCAGCTATGAAATGATAAAAAAGGTTTTTGAAGTGGTGATACACTGCTGCCTGTCAGAACACATTTTTTTATGAATCTGTCACTCAAAACTGTTTTTGTGTGAAGTAAATTAATCAAATGAGTCAAAAATTGTAATGAGTATTTATTAAACTTTGAAGTATTTAAAAGAAAATTTATTGTTTCTTTATCTAAAACAAGTGTTTCACAAGGGATCCCAGTTTTAGAGTCATGGATCTAACATTTTTAAAATGTTAACTGAGAAAAGAACATGCTACTCACATACTGTAACATTATAAAATCAACTTTGGCAACTGCACTTTTAAAGGGATAGTTCACCCCAAAATGAAAATGCTGTCAGTAATTACTCTCCCTCATGTTGCTCCAAATCCATAAGAATTTTGTTCATCTTTGTAACACAAATTAAGATATTGTTTATTAAATTTCAGATTTAATCAAAAATATCTTAATTTGTGTTACAAATATGAACTGTCCGGCTGTCGAGAAGTCCCTGGTGTTTCTGTCTGGCTCACGTCCTTTAAAAACTCCAAACACCGACCACACGTAAAGCAAAACCGTGTTATGCTGCTCATGTGTTTACCACAAAACGGGCAAAACATCCCTCGGTCGCGGTCCATGTTTGGTCACCATAAACTTAAACTCCTGTATGCTTCATATTCACACCATTTTCTCCTCAAGACAACACGAATTGACCGCGCTCACCCACACCTATCACCCGCGTTCACTCATCACTCGTCCGTGAGGAATCGATCGTTAGTATATTTGTTTCGGGACTGGTAAAAGTGTTTTGCGTCTTGCTAATTTGTTTTCTAAAATGTTAATTTGTTTTGTCCTTAGTAAAAGTTTTTTGCCCTTGGTAAAAGTGTTTAGCCCATGTAACTGTGTTTTATGGTAGGGTAAAAATGTTTTCCACAATGTAACATTGTCTCGAGCTTTGTAAAAGTGTTTCAGTCTTTGTTATGTTGCATTGCACTTCTCGGCCACCGTATTACGTAGATACATATTGGCCGCGCCCAGTTACTGCGTGCGCAGACGGAAGTGTAAACTTGAAGTCTACACATTCAAATACTTCATCATAGCATCATATCGAGAAGACGCTGTGTTCTACAATGCAAAGATAGTTCAGCCACTTTGTTTACATTTACCAGGGACGAGCATGTTAAGAATCGGTGGTTAGAGTTCATATTTGCAACGATACCACAACAGTATAGCCCGATTGTGTTCTCATCATTTTAATTACGAATCGTTCAAAAACATAAATGAATTCAACTGTGGATTCGCAAGCGGTTGTTCCTGAAGGAGGGCTCAGTAACTTACTTACCTAGCGTATATGCATCAGCTTCATCCTATGAATCACAACCTGTAAGTATTAGGGCTGTTTTCGACTAAGGATCTGATTCGTTAGATTTTGCCGTAGTCGACTGATAGTCGAACCTTCTTTTTTTTTTAGATAGCCTAGGTCTAGCAGCTATATTTTTTCCATTTTAAACAAAAGAGATGGACATATGCGCATTAGGCTATTCGTTCTGTGTTTTTTTTTTCCAAACAGTTAGGCTATGTTTAGGTAGTATTTTTCATGTTTTTATCACGCAATCATGTTTTTGATGCGGTGGTGAGCTTGTAACTTGTAACTTAACGCTTTAGCCTAAGGGTAGCAGCGGCGCTGCCGAAAATAAAAAGCTGTCACAAAGAACAAATATAGCAAGGAGACACTTTAATTGTTTATTAATAAAGATGAAGTTGACGATGCTGCGCGATCTTCGCGTAGTAAATGCGCCAGAGAGAAATGCACAGTTCATTTCATAAGCAGAGAGCATTACTTTTTCTTTTGTTTTGAATCGTTCTATTTGCAAGTAGACATTTAAATATAGATATATGTTTCAGGTCTGTGGAGTAGACTAGCCTATACTTATACGCTGAGTTGCGGTAGCTATAGGCTATTTATGAGACGAGCTCCAGTTCACACATCGGTGCCTCCGTGCCTTGATTATCAGTAATTGTCTGCTTTTCATTCTTATTTATTAAATCCAGACAATTGGTTGATGAAACATTGAAAATCAAGAAAAAAAATAAATAAAAAAAACGAAATTCACTTTAAAGAAAGGCTTTGTGCTTTTTTTGAGGTCTGTGAAAGTTTTAAAGCAGTCTTTGAGTGCTGCTTCAGAGCGCTCGTGTCCGTCGGAGAACTGTCACGTTTGTAACATTGTTTTTTCTTCTGTGAACACGAGAAATAATATTTTATGTTTTGTGGAGAGCCAACCCTTCCTTATCTGATTTGAGCGGTGTAATTCACAGAATTAAAAAAATATATATTATGCCTCCTAAAAAGATTTTTTGTCACACATGAATGCTTGTCTATTTCAGACTAAATATAAAACGCATGTATACCGTATTTTCCGCACTTCAAGGCGCACCGGATTATAATGCGCACCTTCAATGAATTACCTATTTTAGAACATTTTTCATATAGGGCGCACCGGATTATGAGGCGCATAAGATACTGCAGTCAAACGTTTGCCTGGGTTTGCGTTATGCATACACTAGATGTGCTGGGAATGTAGCGAGTGCGTGGCGCCGGAGTTTAGGCGTTTATTAGTGTGAGCGCGCTGGGGCGGGCACGTAACTTACATTCGCAGCCTGACTCATGAGTATTCAATGTGCGGCGGCTCGCTGACAGCAACGGCTGGCTGTTTTGAATGAGACGACCCGGTTACTGTGAACAGGGAGCGCTTGATGAACATTATGTGATGCGCGAGCAGCACCGGGGACAGTGTGTCTGTTCGTGTGTCTGTTAAGAGTGAGCGCTCGTGAGCGGGAGACACACATAACCTGATTTATACGAGGTTGAACTGGCCGACTGGCCGTGTATTATTCGACTATAACGTTCATAGTCGAATCAGACCTCTCCGAATCGAAACGTTGAATCCTCGACTATTAGAAGTCAGCCCTAGTAAGTATTATTAATAATTGTTGCTTTTATGGGTTTTGAACGGTTTTGTAGCGTCGGGGCGCGAGGAGGGAAGGCACAATAAGTATGTGTGTGCGTGTGTGTAAGTTACGCTCAGTGCAGCTTCTAGGTCTCCAATGTCAATTTTTTTTAAATATGTGAAATGTTTGTCGCTGTTATTGGAGTTGTCATAAAGAATAGAGCGTCTTGTAGTACTGCAGTGCTTTATCAATATGTTTATGCGTTATGCTAACAAACAATAACTGACTGGGTCATCTGACCAATCACCGCCGATTAGCGTCAAGCAAAGGAGTGGTTTGGAAAAATGAGTCCTTGTACGAATCATTTGGAAGTCGGTGAGCAAATCAGTTAAAAATAAATGCATATTATAAGACAAATAAAGTGTTTTTTATCCTATCATGCATGTTAAACTGTTTTTGGGAACTCCTAAAACAAAAATAGGAGCATTTCAAATGCTATGATAGGGGCTCTTTAAAGCATAATCCATCTCGTAATCATCCAGGCAAGGTTCAAAATCCATGTTAGCAATCCAAATACAAACAAACAAACAAGAAACCAGCAAGGAACATGCACAGAACTCCGAAGTGTGGTGACCATATACAATGACTCCGTGACAAGGACAGAAACAGACAGGGTATGGGCTATATGCACGCATTAGTTCCGCATTTGACGCAAGGATGCTCGTCAGTTTCCGGTTGGGGAGATTAAAGCGGAGGAAAACCAAGGAAAATGGGATTACGGCAGAGTCTTCAAAATTTACTGTTCTCCCGTCTTTGAAATGAAACTTTCATACGTTTAGATGTAATTTTATATACAAAGTATATAATATATTATATATTTATTTATATAACGAGGGGTGTCTGTTTTGTCTGTTTTTGTGACTAACGTTTCTTTCGTATAACCATGGAGTATAAAATTCAATATAAATTCTCGGCATTGCATTGGACTCTACGATCGGCGGAAGTTATTGAGCATCCTTACACCTTACAAAGGATTGTGGGAAATGCAGTTCCAGAGTTAATGGTGACAGTAAGGGAAAAGAGAACTCTAGTGGACACTCATGAGCTGTGTCCCAATGTAAAGGCTGCGTCCTCCGAAGGCCGTATTTGAAGGCCGATTGCGTCACATCGGCGCGACGAAGGACGTCCCAATTCAAAGGCTGCATCCGCGAAGGCCGCATTTGAAAGCCGATTGCATCATCGCGGTGGGATGAAGGCTGTCCCAATTCAGTTATGCATCCTCCGAAGCCCGTATTCGAAGGCCGGTTGCGTCATTGCAGCGTAACGAAGGCTTCCCTGATTCAAACACGACGCCAAATGCACCCTTCGTTTCCCCGTGAAAGGAAGCATACATAAATGGACACTTCGCGGACTATCCTTCCCGATCCTACCCCATAAATCATTGTGCGGGTGACGACAGCATTTTTATTTTAAAATAAGGGCGGCCGAGAGTTCGGTGGTGGACGACAAATTCACATTTAAATGTAAAAGTATTATGTTTTCATTTACTCAAATAGCCAGAGAAACCAGTGTTAACAGCCAAAAGTTTTTGTTTCCGTTTTTTTTATTTTGACCGTTTTTTTTCCGTTTTTTCACCGATTATGACCGGTGGACATTACATTATCCCTTACATGTCTTCTTACTTCTAGATAACATGGAGTGGCAAAAACCAAGAAGGAGCAGGGTCAACTGCGGGGGAGGAAGTTGAACAGGTGAACAGCTACCTCTCCCGCTGTGCCTTAACGACTAAATACATGTCGAAAGGAGGTGATTGTGGTATTACTCTTCTAATGTAATTTTTTATTGCTTATTGCATGACATTCACTCAACATTTACTCTCAACAGCACGTGTGGATATGCTTACAATCCATGCTATGGCCTGGAACTACAAAAAAATCTCAACACTACATCGGGCATTGTCTGCAAGATATGTGAAGGTGTGTTCAATGTAAACGGTTTCAATTTGTGGTTATTGTGTAGCTTTGTGTAACTGTATTTTTTAACTGTTGCATTAGACTCACCAGAGGCTTCAGGAGGAGACTGCAAGTCTAGTGGAGCTTAAAGAAAGCTTGGCTTGCACCGATGAAGCAGTGTGGGTGTCTGATGTGAGGGAATGGGCAGCTCGTGGTAAGTGAACCAATAACATGTTTCACTTTGTGCTTCCTCATTGGCGGCGATCATTTATATCATGATATGTAAGCTGCCTATTGCTTACTATATTGCACTATCTCTGTAAGCCTTTTTGGCACACACCCCCTCCCAACTCGTCCTTTACACTATTGTGTTTTGTGTTTACAGACACAACAGGTACTTCCCTAGAGCAGTCCATTGAGGGACGTTACCTTAACGTGAGGCAGCGGAAGCAGACTCAATACTGTCAAAATGGTATAATTACATTGTCTATAGATAATTGCTCACTGTATTTTTGGTCACTATTTTTTTTCCTTCTGCTTCATGTCTTAACAGATAGTGGCAAGTTCTGTCACCGCCTGCGGAGGAAAATTGCTGAGAGCAAGAGACTTCTACTGAAAGACATAGAGACCTATAACAGTCATGAGCCTGCCATGACAATTGACATTAATGAAGTGGAGCAGTCACTATCAGGAGACAAACCGTCCCCAACATGGCCGTGGGAGGTTCATGGCAGCGGTAAGTGAGTTTCCTGAGGCCTCTGATTTATGTTGTGATGATTCAAGTCAGGATTGTTATTTATACATTTTCTTTACCTCTGTTGTAGCACAAATTGAAGACAAGTTAAAAATTTGTAACAAAGTCATGCTGAAAATGAGACTTCAGGAGGAGAGGACAATACTTGTTCAAGAGATGGCCCAGCACTGCTCATGGTTGCAGGCAACTTTTAAAAGAAAAACTTCAGAGGAAGGCAAGTTTCATCTTTGTGAAAGAGGCGTATCTTACTAGAAAGCGGTTAAAAAAACATTAAACTGACCATCTAATTTTGATAATTTATAACAAATAGTACAAAGCAATTGACCCTTCGCTAAGCCCCGCCCTCCATAGTTACTGTTGCTACGCCTGTCAAGCTGTCGCGGCTGGCACGTTTATTACAGTATGTATGCACCGACGGTATCAGACATTCCCAAGGAGATATTTACTAATTTTTGGCAAACAGGTCAAATATCTGACAGAGCCAGACAAAAGGGACTGCAGTATGCATTCGAGGGATATATCCACGAAACTATTTGCAACCGATTAGAGAATAATGTAATCAAAATAGAAGCTAAAGCCTATAGGTCCCAACGTAAGCAGCAGCCGCCTCATACGCTGACAGTTCAACTGGGAAACGAACAAATTGAGGAACAGCTATGTCCGGGTAAGTTAAGTGAAATTTGAAAATAATCTATTATAAATCAAACTTATTTTACCTGAGCGACATTAACCTGAACACTTTGCAATAATACAATTTTTTTTGTTTGTTTTTAGCGCGCCTGGCTACTGCTCACACGTCGTGGGTCTATCTACACCTTGGACCTGGCAAGAGCTAGAGATGCATCTCATACAACGTCCGCCTGCACGAGTCTACCACAGCAGTGGCACAAGCAAAGGGGTAACAAAATAAGGGCAGTGCCAACATCATCGGTAGTTGTTGCTAAAGCTAATGAAAACTGTATGCGGCGACCAATCGACTGTCGGTATACAGGAAGCAGGTAAGTTGATTTGGTTATAGTTATGTGATTTGGCAGAAGCTTTTGTCCAAAGTGACAGAAATAAAAACACCACAATAGTTAAAATGAACAGTGACAGTTAAAAAATGTTGGTAAAACTACATTAAGGAGAATATTAATAATAAACATGTCAATTCAATCAATAGCCTAATGAAAATAAGACGATATTATAATATACAAACAATAACATTAGAGAGGCAGGTTTCCAAGTCATTTTGTCAAATAAAACCCCTAGTGTTTTATTGATAGGGTATTCTCTTCCAGGACCTTCTCAGTTACTGAGGAGAAAATTGCTTTATTAAAAAGGCAGACAGGAGCACCCCTCAGCTACTTGGTTAACAAACCGCTTGTTGACATAACTGTAGGAGGAGAGAAATACCCACTAGGAAGTGGTTTGAGCCATCAGGTAAATGAATGAGGTGAGGCAGTATTAAAATAGATATTCTTTATTGTGTACTTTATATGAAATAAATGTACAAAAAAATACAAAAAAATTTAATGTACAGGACAGTCCAGGACATTGCACCACATCAGTGTGATCTTCCTTGACCACTTAACTCCTTTTCACACAGACCGCCTTAATCTTTGATGATATGTGGCTGGAAGTTAGACAGCATGCTGACTACATACCATATTTGATTTATGTTCTTCAGCCGGGAAATCGGGATTTGGGCTGACACAATTTTAAACTTCTTTATCTTTGCAATAGCTCTTTCAACATGAACCCTGTGCTTGGCTATTCTTTTGGTCATTTTAACATCTGCATGTGGCATCTGTCTGTTTGCTCTTGCAAAAGGTGGAATGTTAAGTTGCAAACCAATCTCCTCAACTTCCTGCTCTATTAGAAAGCCTTTATCAACCATCAAGCCATCTCCTACATTGAGATAGCCACACTGAATGTACCCCTACAAAATGTCAAGGATGTTGCACTTATTGAAAATCTCTTTGTCAGAAATTGCTCCGGTGAAGAGGGCAGACACATAAATGACTGCACCTCGTGGATTACAGGCCACTAGAGACTTAAGGGTGTTAGTAGATTTGCAGGTGGAGTAAGTCTGACTCTGAAACACTAGTGAGCTTGGTCTCTGAATCTTAAGTTCAGTGGATGTTAAATCTGAAGGCTAGGTCTTTGAGGTCCAAATTTTTCATTAAGGTCAGTAATAGAGCCCGACCGATAAAGGATTTTGAAGGCCGATACCGATACAAATATTTTTGGGTTTTAAAATCCGATATATCGGCCGATATTTTTTTTTTTTTATTAAATATTGTTGGATTTCACACACGTGTAAAAGAAAAGCTAACTTTTCTGCACAAGATACGTTTGATACTTTTTCTCTTGTCTAAATGTTCACCCCTCACAAGTATAACTTACATTTTACAATGCAGGGACTGTAACTAGAGATATGCGAGTTATAAATACAGTAATCATTACTTTATTTAAGCAGAAAATCTTCATTGTGGTTTCCAAGCTCATTAATGTTAACGTTAGTGGTCTTCCACTGATGATAGTGGCATTAGCTAGCTTTGTGGTTAGCTAGTCTATGATGAGCCATAATTTAGCAATAGATAATATCATACTGCAAATTGTAAAACATACATTTTCAATATAACAGGCCAAGGAGAGATGATTAAAGTGAGTTTTGTCTGTTTTTATTTTATTTTTTAAATATTCATTTATCGGCCATTATAACTGCCGATACCGATATTATGGAAAATGCCTAATATCGGCCGATAATATCGGCCGGCCGATATATCGGTCTGGCTCTAGTCAGTAACAATTGAGTACGCAGTGAAAGTTGTTTGATCTCATTATTGACACGTTTGTATGAGAGAGGAATGTGTGTTTGTGGTGCACTTGGGTCAGTTGGAATGTTAAAAAATTCACACAAGCTGTTAAATTGCTCGTAAGAAAACCCTGTGCAGTAGTGGAAATAATCAGGCACGTGGCTTTGGTTTAAAATCTCTGGGTTTAAAGCTGAGGTGTGTGCATACTGAAGTTCCTTTTGAAGATCCTTTGCCTCGAGTTGAAGCTTAAGATCTATGATGTCCTGCTTGTGATTGGCTAATGCGTCCTGCAGAGTTCTCAGTTCCTCTCCATGGTCGCCCAGATCATGTTGTTCTGTAAAGTACAAAAAAGAGAAAGAAAACATGGAATGTTACTAATTTATGTTATTTCCCCGTTTTACAGCTTCCTCTCCTCGACTCTGCAGGACCAGCCATCAAACGACTTCCCGGATTTCCCTCTGCCAACACAGCCGTCAAATTTATGTGCAGTTCTGCATGAAAAAAATATGTGCAGCTACAGAAAATTGACAATCACACCATCCCAGTGTTTAGCTTTAGAAGGAGAGACCAGACAACAAGAAACAAATCACATCTGGCATCTTGCCCGGGCTCCCCGACTAACGTCAAGTGTGTTCAAGACAATATGCTCTCGGAGAGCTGACTTTGACCAGACTGATCTCATTAAGTAGTGTGTGTATGACACGCCAATTCGTATTTGCATTTTTGGCGTGCTATCAAGACGCATAAATGCCTTTCAGCGCGTTTATGAATGCCGTTGACTTAACGTTATATAAATATATGACTTACAGGGTTCCCACACCTTGGTTAACATCAAATTCAAGGACCTTTCAAGGACTTTCCAGGTCCAATACCCTCAAATTCAAGGACTTAATGTGGGGACATATTTTAAAGTGAGAGCAAGGTTACATCATGTATTTAAGATACATTGTTACAGTTTTCATCTGTCAAACATCTAGCAAAAAGCTTTTTTTTTTTTTTGCATTTATTTTTGACCATATGACAGAGATCTGATATTCCATTTGTCGTATTTATGTTTTGCATAAAACCGGAGAATATTTGGTACATCCTAATCTTATAAAAAAAAAATAATAATGATAATAATCAAATAAAATATTATCTAAAAAAAAAAATATGTCAAGGTCCTGGAACTGATTATGTGAATGACAACTTGACAGCACAACATTAAAACATGAGAAAAAAACATGAGATCAAGTATGTGAACTTATTTTACATTCAATTATTTTATTTATTTCTACATAACTTCTCAGTATATGTTGGCGTGCCGTAAGAATTTATTCACTACTTAAATTATAACTAAATTAATATGTAATTATTGTCCCATTTTTATTTAAATAATTTAGCACTTTTTAAAAGCCATTAATTGTGAATTACAGATAGGATCATCATTTATAAATGATAAATTAATAAAATAACATTAATTATAATTTATTAATTATCTGTCTATAACATCTACAAATATAATAGTCTACTAACCTTTGACAATGTATATTAGCCTATATTAAGAGATTATCCAGATTTAAAAACAAAAAACACCAATAGGCCTAACATATTTAAAAACACAGATTTGTCTGTTACTGCAGCTGTCAGAAGTTCACCCCACAGCATGAGAAAATGAAACTGTCTCATGTTCATCATTAGTTACTGGACAGCCATTGATATTTTCAGATCTGGAGAGGACGTAAGCTCGACATTGTTTAAAAAACAAACAAAAAAAAAAAACAGGCGCATTATGCCCGTTTACAGCGCATGTTCTCTAGACACTGCCGCTATGGGGAAAAAAGACGCAAACACGCATTAACCACCAAATGAATGTGTGGGACCAGGGTCTCTGTAAGTTACGGGACAAATCCACAGTCTATAGAGTGCCGAAGTGATGACGTCACTTTGTAGGACAACTCGGAAGCTAGCGCCGCATGGGTTCCCTCGGTCGAAAAGCAATGCATTTTCCCCATAGACTTTTGGAAAATCGCAAAAAATAAGATCTGTGTTCAACAAAGAGTTGTGACCCTTAAGGCGGGCATACACTGTGCGATTTTCGTCCGATTTTGAGCCGAATTCTGACTCGTGCGACTCTTTTTCGTGTCGGACTGATTTTCAGCTTTGTCGTGCGTCGTTTGTCGTGCTGTGTTCGTGCAGTGTACAGGGAGAAACGAGAGGCGATTAACCTCTCACGATCGACCATCGGATGGTCGGATGAATTTCTGGCATGTCAGAAATTTTGGTCGCTCCTCGTGACTATATCGCACAGTTGAAGCAAAGCTACGAACCGATTGGCCTAAACTCAGTGTTTTTTCCCTCACTGCACCTGCGCGAAAACAGAAGTTTAACCATTTCATCTCCAGCAAAAATAAAATAAAAATAAAAACGAAAAGAGGGAGATCTTTAAGTTCTGTAGTTCAAACTAGCTACAAATTACTGTTGCTTACCTCCAGTTCTTGTTGCAAAATTGATAATATTACCCACGTCTTCCAACCCACCTGCGATGTAACGCCTCTTTTATTAATTTGTCAAACAATGTTTTTGAAATAAACCTGTTTTTAATTTTCATTCATGATTAATTACGGCAATGTTCGGACATATTGTAGACTGTTAAAAGTTATTTTATATGCCTATAATTCATTGTAATCGACCTAAATGTTTTAGACAATTTTTAATGAGGAGTAAGATTATGTAATATTTTATTATCCTCACTGCTGTGAAAATATTGCGTGGCAAATTAATTATAATAGCGGATCAATTTAATAATAAAATTAGCCTATAGGCCTCCCCTAATAATGATAATACAATAATACTAATAATAATTAAATGCATAAATTGAAAATGCTAAATCATCTTGATACTGATAGCAGATGCTTGTTTTGACAATATCTCTGGATACATACACGTAAATATGCGCAATCCAGGGGGTTATCGCAGATATTACACGTATAGTGTGAGCAGTGAAGTCGC